TCAGTGTAATGCCTCTGTCCACCCTATAGCAAGCCTTTAGTCCAGCTACTCCTACTCGAGCCAATACCATGACCATGTGTGGTGAATGAAGCAGACAGCAGAGGCCAGCAACAAAAACGATCCTGTTATTCTGAGGAGTATTTCTGGCAGGATCCAGGGGTGCAAAGCAATGAGGARAAAGCTGTGTTCCATCTTTAGTGGAATGCCTCACTTTGCTGTACTCTGTTTCGTGACTTGTTTGCTTGAGCCCTTTTTTTAACTACACTTTTGGGCTTTTCAGTGTGTGCAGACAGGACAAATATAGTGACTCACAAGCTTATACCTATTATTTAGTTGTTATATAAAGCCCACCTGAGCACACCATGAATTCACATTTTAGGTTTGCTGGAAACTTCTGCTGGAAATTTGTCCTGGGCTGTTGCCACCTTGCAAGGATCCTTTCTCATCCACCCCACRCAGGCAAATCCTCAGCTTGTTTTTAAATTAGTACATAGAAGCCCTGTTAGTCACAGCAGTGACCACAAAGAACGTTTTGCCTTTGAAATTCTTATTTCATGCAACTTTCCTAGGTAACCTTTCCTAACATAGGATACCATTTGTGCTTTTCATGTGGTGGCAGGGTCACCATCCTGGTAGGTGACAGGGAAATTTGTTGGAGCCTATTTTAGATAACAGACCTTCTTGCACATCATTCATACAGTCATCACTATGAACAACACAGCCCACTCCCCTGAGTGGGTCCAGGAACCCACTTGCATCTCAGGTGACCCTCATGGCCTCGAGGGTCAACAGAATGAGCCCCTAAAGAGCTCAGCCATGCCCCACAGGCCAATGCAGCATATCCACCTCATCCCTAGGACTGAAAAACTCTGTTAAGTCATGTTATCTATTAGCACCAAAAAACATAATTACCTCTGTGTATAATCAGTTTGTAATTCACTACGTACATTCCCCACATGCAACTAAGTAGATACTTAACGTGTCTCTTCTCAGAAACTGAATGTAGTGGCTTCAAATTAACTGGCAATATACGTGTACTTTGGATTCACCTCCATGCCAAGATTAGCAATATTTCTAACTGGTTATAGTCACAGACACTGTAAATACAGCATTCAGTCTGCTTCTTTTATGGGTGCTGCTAAACCTATTCTAAGCACCATAGTTTAGTCTACTCTTTAAACATAAGCTGGGTTTTCCCAAAAGCTGGGACCTGAAGTCAATTTACTTTACAGTCATGTTTTACTGTAATAGGTAAAATCCAGTTCAGAAATGTAAGARAAATTAATCCTTCTGAAGACATATGCTGAACAAAATCAATAAGGGAGCTTTAGGTCTGTGCCTGGTCTTACCTGCTCCTGTAAATCTGTTTGAGAGCTGATTTCAGAGAAGACAAGCACTACATCAGAATATTAATTCATTAGACAAAAATAAGAATATTAGAAAAAAAACGTTGGGGGAACTGATTTGAATTTATGCAAGTGATCACATGCAATAGTGCCTGGCCATCTCTTACAGAAAATCCTGGAGTTCTACTCTGCTCAGTCTGCCAGTTCCCAGACTATTTAGCATCTACTTCAGAACATGTAAGAAATCTCAAATATGACTTCATTGAGCTATTCTGCCATAGCAAAACTTCTTCTATAAGGGCAGATGGGAAATTGCTAACATAGAGGAAGTTTCAAGAGGTAGAATATAATTTAGAGGACAGAACATTGGATTTGTGGATTCCTGCTTTAACTCTATAGCTTGCAATGACCAGGGATCAGTATCTTYGTTTTGTGCATCATCTGCAATATGATTTTTTAAAAAACAGTTCTTACCTTGAAAACTTGCAGATATAATGAAAAGAGACAAAAATGAAATAAAAACACAGCAGAAAAAYCTCGATCATTATGCACTGCACCTCAGAGTGCACACTGAGATGTGATATAAGCAAAGATACTGGACAATTTCCTGAATTGAACAGTAACTTGGAAATGTTGTTGTTTTGARAGACTGAAAGACTTGAAGGAAGATCATGTCAAGGAAATAAGGAACCTTGCCTGAGATACAAATRCCACTCATAAAATCCCCTAATTTGGAAACAGGCAGTTTAACAATGGATTGTCCTTTCTAAGGGAGTCAGTATCAAAAAGAAGATGCCAAACGATGTTTTTTCTACACATTAAAGACTCCGAGAGAATGGACTCAACAGCAGGTGTGCACTGACTTTTCAAACACAGACATCAAGGTTTGTATTCCAGCACAGTTCAAATGTGGATGCAGGGCTCCATTTCAAGGCTGTCTGGTGTCCCTCATACAAATTGCCTGACACCCAAGACTCCTCAAGCACTGTAAGGGTTTCTGAGACAACTCTGCTACATCTGTCTGTCAGTGCTGTGCGCTTTCTCAGACAGCTTTGGGGTTACATTTTTTTGCTTACAGACAGCAGTTACATGTGTTTGTATGATTTGAGCCTTGCRTCCAGGCACTCTCACTGAGCCCCATTGCCAGCATTGCCTCCAATACCCACCAGCCTCCCAAACTGGGGAGTGGGTGAGACCCCAAGAGATGGCCCTATGACCCAGACTGATTTTAATTACAGCAGACAGTGAGGTAATTGCTTCTTCTGGATCCAACTGACCCTCTTTGCTTTCTGTTTACAGTATGTATGGGGCTCTATAGTCTGTTTGTTATGGCCATTTATCAACATGTTTGCTAAATGATTTTTTAAAGAAATGCACTAGCAGCATCTCCTCCAACCTTTGWCACTGGTCACACCAGAACCTTATTTTCTGTTTTATTACAGCTTCATCTTTGAAGCTAAACACGTCAGGAAGAGGGAGGGAGTATGGTCAGTCAAATGTTAAAAAATTTGCAAGTGAAAACTCCAAATGCACTCCTTAATGAGAGTGCCTTATCTCATCCATTTGCCTTGAACTTGTCCTATACACTTTCCACTGTCACATCAGTCTATGCATTACTACTGCCTTGGCAAACACCCCTGAAGTTAGGGGACAGTGCAAGTTAAAGACTGATAAACCCACACTGCAGAATTTCAGCCTGACCTTTCACCCTTGGGATCCAAATCTACTACTTCTCATGAGCCCCTCTAGTCTGCAAAAATGCGTCTCTGTCTGCCCTGGCCTGGTGCTGAAATGAAAACTGACTGCTAGCAACCTAAAATTTCTTAAAACCAGGATAAAATGCAATCCCTATGTGGTTTGTGCAGAACACAGGCAGGTAACTGTCAGGGAGCTTTTTTCCTCTTTTTCTATGGTTTATATTTTGGAAGCAAAGAGCCTTCTATCCAGCCGGCCTTGAAAGCACAAGCACTGCCTGGAATTCCTCTCACAGACATGAAGCCAAACTGGCTTCTGCTATAGCAGGAACTGGGGGAGGAGAGGTGTCGACTGTGAAAATGCAAGAATATTCTGAGATTCTAAGAATCAGACCATACTTCATCATGGGGAATGTTTCAAGAACACTGGCAGAAAAGATGAAGGAAGGRGATAAGAAAACACAGTTTGGCAGATAGCTCAGTCTGTACCCTCCAATGCAATACGGTCTTTTTGTAGAGGAGATAATTTTCAGCTGTTAATACCAACCTTAGCAACTTGTCAGACAGGCTGCCAGCTATGTGAAAGCTGATGACAAAAACACTTATTCTACAGAAATCTCCAAAATTATGTTTCCAGATTTCCATCAGGTTGGGAAAGTCCTGCATGCAGCAGCAACTGTGTGCTGATGGCCCACGTGCTTTACACACTCAGCATGCCTTTTGAACCAATGTGGTAGACACTGTGCCTCTGCTTTGGACTATGGCGCTTGAAAAGTCACGTTAAAAACATTTTCTCCATAGCTTACACCCTTTTCCTCTTGATTACATCTGTCTGAACCCAAACAAGCAGAATTACAATCTAGGTTTAGAAAATGCTAAGGRGAAGTATGAGAGGAAGTGTTCTCAACCACAGCTGCTTTCCAGAAGGCTACAGGACATYAATTAGTTGCTGCTGCTTTCTGCAGTCTCGACTGGGAGGATTGGGCTAGGGATGAACAGCAACAATAGAACAGAATTGTGCTTYACAGCAGAGCCCTACCTGGGATCCAGGCAGAAGTGAGCCATGCTCCAGCCAACTTTCCTTTCTCCTTATCAACCTCATAAATTATAGGAAAAAATAAGCAAGTGTAATAACACCAAGCAATTMAACAGTAGTTGGTAAATAAAGATATTGAAAATAGAGTTTGATCCATCAATACTAATACATGCTAAAWGCTGTTGCTGATATGTAGCAAGCAGTTAATAAAAATTACAAACAGTAATGTAATCAAATAAAACCAATAGTCTCTTCAATCCCATCTTCTGCTCCTCAGCCATCCATRGTGCACTCAGTTAAAGAGGTTATTCCTCAATCACTTACAAAAGAGGACATTAACTTATACCCTGTGTTCTTCTTTATCACTCTTCATACATGTCCTGCATTGCAGTAGACTCTGGGGTTGTTTCTTCATGAATTTTCTCTCCTCCCTACTCCATGTGTTCTCCTAGTTCCAAGAGCTCTCAGCTCAAAAAAAAAAAAAAATCTGTTCCTGTCTGTCAAGCTGGACAGTTTTCATGGGAAGTGTCCATGGTCCCTCTGAGTTATTACCAGTCSTACACAGAGCCTCACTTCTCTTCCCTTCCCTCCAGTCCTCACAGAGAGCCATTATACTGCATCAGACTGATCCAAAAATGGGAGCTGAGGGAGACACTCTGAAAYAGGCTAGAAAAACTCTACTGTGGTATGGCCCATAGGAGGACAGCTTTTTAAAACCTTTTTGTCTCTGCTAAATAATTTTTCGAGTTCCATGTTTAAATTCTCTCTCTAAATGCTGGAGTCTGCCCTGTGAGGACCTYACTAAAACTGAGGTAATGAAGGATGTGATCAGTTTTCTGAGAGTGTTGTGACATAGAGGGAGGTCTGATTACATCATTTGTTTTGGGCTGAGTCTCAGGAGCTTTATAAAAAGCAGTCCTAAAGGTAAGGAGAGAGAAAAGGGGAGAGGAGGGCAATAGCTCATTAACAGAARCTCTGTATATGTGCATTCTGCTATTTGCCACATGTCTACAAGGGAGTTTCTTCAGAGTGCAAAGAAATCTGTGAACTCCTGGAATATTATAAGTCTTTCCTTGAGATGTCAGCCAAGAGCTTCAGTATAGTCACCGTGGCTACTGTGCTTACTTTCTTCCTAAAGATACAGCTCTCAATGCAAGCGCCGTTGAATGGTAAAGTCTTTCAGCTTTCTATTTTATTGTCACTTGTACCTCTGGACAGCTTTTTATGCAGCAAAATGGCATCTTTTAATTATTACTATGCAATACCATGCTCAAAGCTATATATTGTTGTAGACTGCAGCTGTTTAGTATCCTTATTTCAGTTTCTCAGAATAGGTATTGTGATATATGCAGGGAAATTTGTCCTCTAATTTAGTTGGCATTACAGACTTCTTGCATGCTCAGTATGCTTTGCTTTGTGATCCTTTTATTTCTCATAGAATGAAGCAGAGACTGGCCCTTTCAGAGTTAGAGGAAGCATCACACCTTTCCCTCTGACGGTTTATTTTTAAACCAGAGGGAAAGAAAGCAATTCCTGTGAAGCACCCCATACACTAGAGATCATTCTCTTATATTTAAACAAGATTACTTTCAGGACGCTGGCACTCCTCAGTTTCTTTTTAGGAGTTAATGTTCATCTATTCAAACTGATTATAATCAATTTTCATATTGTCAAAGTAATTATAATCCCTCTGGTGTTATTATAGGATATGAGAGGAATTGTTGTAAAGTGTTGTGTGAGAGGACTTACTCAGCAYATACATTCACGGCACAAAAATCCAGAAGGTTCAAACATAATCAAGAGCTGTCTGTTTGTGCAGAGCTCTGCCAGGACAAGCATTTTACCAATTTTTTGGTTTTTTTGCAAGAATAGCATAAGGCATGAAATTCAAACTTTTAAGGTCATCTTCTTATTTTGTGCATATACCCTTTGAAAAATGCCTATATTCTCTAGCAGAATCTCCTACCTGAAGGGCAGGAGAGTTCCTAGAGATTGTTGCTTTCCAGAATAACAGAATAAAGCTTGATGCTTTCCAGGTGCTTTCTGTGGCTGCACAGAAAGTTTGGAATTGAAAGGATGTGTTGAAAATGTAGGTCTTACRATACATCCTGAAGGGAATTCTGGAGAATGCCTATCTCAGACTTAGAAATCTAGTACCAAGAAATGGCAAGAGCTAGAGTATCTGTCTCACCCATCTTTCCAAGTAGATCATCACACCTTCAACCATTCCCACTTTCCCAAYTCCCAATTGACACTGGAAATGTATTTTTTCCCTGGGTGTTGATCAGCCAAGTGGAGATACACTGGCTCTAGGAACCTCCTCTGCCATACATGAGCAGGTAACTGTGTTACTCATCAATATTCACCCCAACATGAACAGAGGCAGAACAGTGTTCACAGACACATTTYAATGGTCAATAAGAGCATGAACAGAATAGCTATGGTAGTTAAGTCAGTATTTCTTCAAACCCTGCTCAGATGAGGATATTGCTAGAACCTACTGCCAGTCAGTTTCCATCTTTATGCAAGTTTTGCCTGCAGAATGACCAGAGAACAGACACAATTCCCCAAAAACCCAGTAAGAGACAATTCCCTGCAGAGGGAAGGCAAGAGGAGAATGAGGTTTCTCATCCTGAAATCTAAGACATGAATTCTTCTACAAGAGGAAACTGAGGACTTAAGCCAGAATGATTATACAGACTTTGCTTTGAAAATTCCAGTGTAAAAGAACAAGGCACACTGGTCCTAACAAACTGAAAGCAGAAAGTTTCGTGTTCCCAGCATGTACCAATACAAAAGAGCTAAGTGCAGTTGGTTTGCACATCCCTACAAATTAACCCCAAACATTTCATACAACACTCTTAAGGAAGAGTTGCATCTTCTACCACACTTCAGAGAACAAGAAATGCAATCAAGAACAATGTATTGAGTAGACATGTGCATGCAATGATAAATATTTGCCTGCATGTATGCAGATACTCACRGGCACACTGAGTTTTTTGCAAGATTTGTATTTCAGGACTGTTTCCTAAGCAGAAATAAAATTAAATTTGCAGACAGTAAAGATCAGCATTAGCCTGATAACTCAAACTGTTCMGTTCTGTCAGGACAAGCACCTCTTGCAGCATTATTATGCAAAATAATGAATGATTGTAAGTAGGTTTCAGGAGCAGAAAAAAATTTATTAAAAAGAGCATTTAATAAGACATTTCCAAACCCATGCAGAGACACTGTCCCAAGTTCAGTTCCTTAAGCAGTGAATAAGYATTGATCATCTTAACACTCACTCACCCCCCTGGGATTCTCTGAGTTATATGGGTTCATGAATTGTACTCCCTTTTTTTCAAAGTCTATTCATTCCTGTCCATCATTTCTCAGTGTAGCAACTGKCAATCCACTGATGTTTTTCAAACTCCTCAAAAGGCATAGGAGGGGTCATTGTAGTTACAACCCACTTACATTCCTTAGCTTCCTAACCAAAAAAAAAAAATACACAGGGATGTACCTACATACTAAGTCTGTGGTTATTCCACAAAAAAAATCTGAAAAGCCAACCAAACAAAAATCAAACCAACAGAAAAAAACCAAGTACTTACAGAAGTTTTGCTCAGGATATAAGTGATCATAAGGAAGTCACCCCTATGGGCAGGATCACAGGGATAATTATAATTTGGGTGCGAAAGGTTCATAAAATGTCATGTCATGAAGTTTGAAAGTGTCTATGTTTTGCTATGTTTTGCTCAACAGCTTGGGCTAGAAAGATAAAAGTATTGCAAAATTCAGTACATGGGTTTAAGTAGCAATTTGTTTCTTTACAGAGTAAGATCAAATATTCACAGTAATATTTCCTTGTTTCTATACAGGGTCAAAATGGTCTTATATTGGTAAGTACTAATTCGTACATACTAAATTGTGGCTTTCTTCTGTACTTTAAAGACAACCTTCCAAATGTATTCTGRTGAGTACTTACTGAGATGACAACCTTTACCCAGGTTTGGATCTGGTCAATTGTCTTGAAATCTGTTGTTCATCCATCAGGTTTCCTATGTGGGTGACTGAGTCAGTAACTGAGTTCTAAACACAATGACAGGAACTTCAGCAGACTAAAGMCAGCCCAGAACTGGAGAGGGTCCCCAAAGCCCTCTGTTTCCTCACYAGTCACAGGCCAGYRGCAYATTCCAGCCYAGTTCTGCAAAGAGCATTCTCTCCMTACCTACATGAGTCTTCTTTTTCAAGTGGAGTCAGAGTCAGCAAGTCACCTCTATCGTGTYACTGAACCCAGGTCCCTGAAGAACCCAGCAGCAATGAAGCAGAATAAACCATATTTAGGAAAGCAGTGTTAATATGTAACTAATCCTTTTAGTCAGCTACTAATTCAGAGGGACCTGGTGGCTGCTCAGAAAAAGAATTATCTAGCATTTTTCTTTTAATTGATCAAATCCTCTAGCCAGGTATTTCCTCATTCAGAGTAGCATTTTACACACCACATGCCCACAAGAAGTAGGCAGTACTGAGAATCTTCAAAAAAAAAAAAAAAAGCTTGCTCTTAAGCTTTTGGTGCTGCTCCAAGACAACACAAAGAACCTSTGAGACTGAACTTGCTGCTGGGAACTCCTCCCTTTGGCTGTGCTCCAGTTTACCTGACTGGCTTCACATAGGCAGAAGGAAAAYTGTCAGCTGCATGTCTATAGGAATYTGACTACCTGCAGAGTCCATACATATACCTTACATTCCCAGCAAGGAAAAAGCTGGACACAGCTTGATTAACAAAAGCCTASGTTTTCTACCTTGATGGCAGCCATCAAATAAACATAACACTGCTGAGAAGCAAGGAAAACAAGACTTCATTTACCACCATCAAAGTTTTGCCCTCCTTCCCAGGGTTATGCTTGTTTAAATTAGTTACTTCTCCCTTCCTGGGAATTTGGGCACCAGTGTTTATTTCCAAGTGTGTTCTTCTCAATGCCCAACTTCACCAATTCCTGTTAAGCTCTTCCCTACTGCACTCTGATTTCTGCATTCTAAATGTACAGAGGATAGAGAGAAGGTTCACCGAACAGATTATCTTTTTCCTTCAACTACTGATTTAAAAACATATCTAGAAAAACATATTAAAGCAAATACATAAATGCAACTTCAATAATGTAAAGTGGTATCTGAACGTGTACAGAATAGTACAGAAAAGCAGAAATAGAACATTGACCCCCCAGAGGGAAACAGCTATTAGAGAGACTGTGCTAAGCCAGGAAAGAGCCCCTCCATACTCTCCTACTGATCCTGGTTCCTTATGACATCCTAAATCCTCCACTGTTTACCTTTGCCCCAAAACACTTTGCAATGCCTCTCACTCARTTAAATCAATAGGAAGGGAAAGGAAATCAAGCCATTATAACCACATTCCAGACTGATGTCAAGATGAGGGTCAAGGTACAAGATTAACCATGGAGGAGAAACCCGGTGCTCATTGTCAGAGATTTCTATCTGTTGAGTAGGACAGTAYGTAAAACTGAATGTTGATACAGTGTTAGCACCTCAGGGCATAGTGGCAAAGCAAAGTGACACTGCATATGATCAGGCCTTATCTTTTCAGCACAGGCTTTCCAAAGAAATGGGAGTTTGCCTTGCCTCCAATGGAAACTACTACAATAGATACATCAAATATAAAGGCCCTCCTCTGCTTGCTTCTTCCTTAGTCAAACTGCAGCAAAGCTGCCTGGAGGAAACACCACAGAACAGTGAGGCCTGAGCCCTCAGYCCCTGGTGACACAGGCTTGCTTTGCTCTACCTTCTGTAAAATGGACAAAGCAGATCATGTATTTCACAAAAAAAGGTGGTTTCAGTCAAAAAAACTAAAAGAATGGTTCTGATGCCCCACAGCTCAAGACAGCATGTACAGGCAGCTTTTGGCAATGCTGCTGTGTAGCTGTGAGGTGTAGGCTGAAGTCCTCTGCTCCAGAAAAAAACTGGTAGAAGTCGATTTTAGGCTTCAATTCTTTGGTTTCTGGCTCTGTTTCTGTTGTGTAAGTGTGTTGGGATGAAATCAGAGAACCAGAATCATCCCTTCAGATTGGACAAGCAGCTACAATGGAGAAAACTACCTTTAGAGACAAGCCTGAAGTAATAAAGCCAACAGAATTAACATGCTTTAGCAGTAATAGTGCCAACAGAATTATTAATGTACTTTAGCATGTGAGGAGACAACTTCACACAGCAATGCAGATACAAGAATTGCTGYTAACAGACACCAGGCTAATTGTACTTACAAACTCTTCTATTCTACTGTTGCCAAATACAGTGAGGTGCTGAGAACCTGTGCTAAGACCCTTCCGGTTCCCCTTTGGAAATGCCAGCTTTAGTGAACACTCTAGAACATGCCCCAGATTTCTCACACAGCACTTGAAGGCAGTAGCAGAGCCAGCTACAGCCCTTGGCAATTCCTCTATCTCGCAGGCTTCCCTCTGGCCACGTATGTGGAAGATACACACAAACTGGCTTTGTGTGCACAGAGTGGKGTGACTGAGCTCCGAGCAAAATGGAAACCATGTGGTCATGTCACCATGGCAGKGAGCCTGCACTCAGCCTTCACCACTAACTCAGCCCTGGGTAAACGGCAGCTTCACAGCTTCCAGCTGGCTGAAAACAAGGCAAAGTGCTCTGCCTGGCTGCAAAAATACCACAGACATTCCCCGTGTTACTGACTCAGTGCATTTTACTACACCAGTTTACTTCACATCATGAGAACTTGGATAGCCTGGGAGAAGTTGGAGCAACGCAGAAATTAACTGGTCATCAGACCAGCAGTCTGCTGGTACCACTGGTGTCTCACAGGGCTATTTTCTCCTTAAACGAGCCAATGTATAAATCCTGGGAGCAGACACCACTGTTCTTGAAGGAACAACTGTCCTGCATTGCCCCCCAGTGCTGTGGGGCTGGCTGGAAAGCTAAAAGCTGTCAGAGGAGATGGTACAATGGACRCCTGCAGCCTTGGTGCTGAGGGTGCTTTGCTCAGCCCACTGGGCAGCCAGACTATCCAGAGAATTATTCCTGCTTCATTTAGAGACATCTTTTATAAAATAGCCGTGAGGGCACAGTAGGGCTCAGGGCTGTTTTCAGTGTGCTAGGGGAACATGGTCCTGGAAACCCATGTCAAGCAGGGCAATCCTCAAGCTGGATTTGAGCAGCCCGAGTTTGCACTCCCTGGGGCAGGGAGCGTTCTCAGCAGCACTGGGAGCAGWGGCAGCAGCAGGACAAGTCCTACTTCCACTCACACCAACAGCTCCCTTCCTTCATATGCTCACTCTGACTGCTSTTACAGTGCTGAGGGGGCAGAACAGGCCCATGGCACAATTACTGCTCTGTTGACACAGTCCTGGGTCACAAATATGTCACAGAAAAAGGAAATTARCTTTGAAGATAATTTTGTGATACTTCTTATGTTAATATCTTTTGGGACTTGTAGCACAGGCCAATCTTAATATATCCACATACTGTTCTCTATTCAGTAGTGATCAGACAAAGTCTTTGTAAACACAACGTGATTTCCACTGAATTTATCTGAGTGTGCTGGCACAGAAAAAGGAAAATCAGGTTCACAATCAATCATTCATTTTCAGCAGACCTAGCTGAGAAATGCCTTCCAGCTGTGTGTTTATCTAGCATGGAAATCCCAATTTCACATATGCAAAACCAAGCTAAGTGAACTCAGTTCTTTGAGACGGAGTTTTGAGCCACTGAAATTAGAAAGACTACGTGACAAAAGACAGAATTTCTATAAAAGCGGGTTTTGTACCAAAAAGGGTTTTTGTTTGATTTTGTTGAGTTTTTTAATTGAACAGGAATGAGAAACACGAAGCAATGTGAAGCAAAATGTTCTGTTGCTTAAAGGCCTGTGAGTGGRGTTGCAGATTTATGTCAAGAAAAGAATAACTGCTAGTAAAGGGCAAGGTACAKAAAGACTGTGATAACTGCATCATTTTCCTTCTGAACTGGTGATGTAAGTGTGGAAGTTCCTATATTCTGTTGCCAACTCTTCAGGACATTCAATTCATCTGAACACAGTACTGAAAAAATGACTGTACTTCTTTACATGGTTTTCCCTAACTGGGACTAGACTTCTGTTTTATACATTAGATACCTATTTAATTATCAAGTCTCTAAAGCTATGATAAGTGATATATTAAAATCTTCTTGCAAACTCATAACCTTCTCAAACCTTGTAAAATTATTGAAGTCTTTTATAATAAAGGCTTCTCACCATTTTTCTGACACTGTTGTAATCTTAGCTCTTTGTAAAGTATTAAATTTCAGTGTCATTGTCTTGCACACCAAGTTTGAACCTAAGAAACTATCATTTCTTGGTATATCCTAGTGTATATTTTCCTGGAGAACATTCCTGACTATGTATTTCATAGTCTTCTATAGTGTCAGCAAAACATTTATTAGCTTTTTTTTAAGAAAACTTTAAGATAGCATCAGGAAGATGTAGGAGAAAGAAATTAAWGTGATTGTCAGTGAACTGGAGTCAAAGATTTAAGTTTCAGCAACAGCAAGGCCTATTTATACTGAAAATCATTGACTGAGTCCAAGTATCCACATTGCAATGTCACTTGCTAAACTATGTCTTGAATAAACATCTTTACCAAGGACCTAAGTCTGTCTTAAAGCATCAGAATTGATCTCATTGATTCTGTCACATGCTCGGTGTTTAAGTCAGGTTCACCCCTACTATCCATTTACTTGGCAATTTTCTTCCATGTAAATAGAGCCTCTAATAGTATCCTGCTAACTGTTAATTTCCTTCTGAAWATATCTGAACTTGCTTTGCCACTGATGACCTGATCTTCAAAGGAGTCACTGGGAATATTATAGGTTTGGAAAATAAGCCTTCTAATCAAAGACTCAAGGGATTCAATCTACTTAGTTTAAGARAAGTGAGAAACTATATCCTCTGTGTTATAAGTATTTCACTGAGGAACAAAAGTATGGGAACAGCAGGCTCACAGTGAAAAGCTGTCAAGGAGAGTAATTATCCACTGGGCACTAATGAAGTATCTTTYATCTGCAATGCTCAGAGTAGATGTTTATTCCCTTCTGAAAGAAACGGTCTCACTGAAGTAGAAATTAATCCAGAGTCCCAGTGTCCTGGGCTACACAGATCAGGCTGAAGGATCCCTAAGGACCTTCCTGTCTTGGAAAGAATCATGATGAATGTTCAGAGACARGGAGAAACACAAGTTGCAAGTGCCTCTTCTGGTATTTAAATCCAAATAATCACAGCTTACAGTTTGCAAACAGCTGCTAGCTGTTAATGTGTAATTAAATCAAAGGCACAATTAAAATTCTCTTGATATTATCTATTCTTTGTAGATCTTACCTCAGGCAAAAGACTGATGAAGAAAGGTTTCACCAGAGTTTGAACAAGTTATTGCAGGTCAAATTACCATAACACCTTCCAATTTTGCAAGCTAGCTTTTCACTGTGGGTTAGATAGAGCCAGTTTATACAGAAAGGAAAAGTCTGTAAGGGTCTGATATAATCAGATTTGTCTCTAGGTCACAACACCCTCAGAAAACTGATCATATCCTTCATTACCTCAGTTTTAATGAGGGCCTTTAAAAAAAAAGTCTTAAAAATTCAGAAAAAGCTTATTTTCCAAATTTTGTGTGAAGGCTAACACAGGGTAATTCCTATGTTAATTGCATAGCAAAGTTTTGACAAAATGTGTCTCTGTTCATTCACACAGGTCCTGATGGAGAGAAGGCCTGGCCAAAGAAATACCCATTTTGTGGAGGAGTATTCCAATCACCAATTGATTTCCACAAAGATATTCTCCAGTATGATTCTAATCTCTTGCCTTTAGAGTTCATTGGCTATAACGTGCCCTCCACTGACCAGTTTACRTTGATCAATAATGGCCATTCAGGTAAGGGAGCTCATGGACAGCAAGGAACAGTAAAGAGTTGCAGGAAGACAGTGGTTTTTTTACTTCATGAATGGACTACTTTGATTATCAGGTGAAATTAAGCTGCAAATCAGATGAGAAAGCCTTCACATCAGCATACCTACCTCTGCAGAACAGGCTAGAGAAACTTGGGAATCTACTAAGTACAAATGGATTCCAAATAAGTGAAATTTTAAATAAAGAATTTTAAAATAAACTCTAGGTGTGTCAGAATAAATGCCCAAGCTTTTCTGATTGCTTTTGTTGTGGTGCTCTGAAACAGAATCAGACTTTGTGATTCTGCTAAAAAGAGATTAACTGATAAAATGAGTAATGGGTCTCTTACATGCATCAAAGCAGCTCAACTGAATTAGATGTGGGCAGGGGGAAAAAGGGAAAAAATAAATGAGCACCATTCTGTTCTTTTGATTTGAGATAAAAACCTCTTCAGTGTAAGGTAAGATAGACAGTGATAGGTAGTGAAGGTAAGAAGACAGAGAAATAATTAGAAGTTGTGTACAAACATGCCSTCCTCACRGTAGCACTAAATCAGTGTCAGTACAGTAGGTAAAAGCAGAGATGATGCTGTCTCATAAAGGTCTCCCACATTGACACAATGTACAGTACCAGTGAGTCAGCCCAGCCTTTTTCATKTCTTCCTGAAACAGTTGAAGACACAGAAATGAGAACAGTTGTAAAACCCTCCTACTTTGTATCCTCCTTTAAGTATCAAAATAACCTGTGTTATAAAATGGCCTCTGCTCTCACATGCTTGGTTAAAAGATGACCAGCATGCAAAGATCTTTTTTTATCACTCTTTCAGTGAGATTGACCTGTTCTACTGAACATCATAAGCCCATTCTTCAGTAAGGACCAACTTCTCAGAACAGGTTCCTGGTTTTCTTCTTTATTAATCTCTCCATTAAAACCAGGTTGCCTTAGACTGGGAATGGTTAGAACACCCTTTTCCTTGGGAGCCCTCTTTCCCTAAAAGTCCTTCTTGGTTCTGAGTGAACGATTGTACTGTCCAAATTGAATGCACTGGGCTGATATGACAGGCAATAGGCAGAGAAGGAAATATTGTCATTGTGTACTTGAAGGGTGCCAGAGAGCAGAAGGAGCCAAAAGAACAGCACTGAGAGCCTGTCCCTCAGAGTCCCTCACAGTCACACAGGTAAAAGCAAATTCCTTGGAGAAGCTATGGCACTACCACTGTCAGATCTCAAACCTAAAACACAAAATTTGATTACTTCCTAATGAAAGCCAAGACAAAAATATATCCCCCTCAGTAAAAACAGGAATTCATTTCTAAGGTCAATGCCCACCTAGAAAGGAGTAGAGAGCACCCTACTATAGAAATCTCACTTAGATACAAATTAATTGCTCTGAATAACAAACAATTAGCCTCTGTTAGAGTGGTCATTATACCATCTGCTGCTACCTCCTCTTTCAGCTAGAGAGTAAATCAGTAGGATGCTTAGTATTRTGCTGTCATTCCTACATATAATTAATGTTCTTCACCAGGCAGTTCATYCAGACACAATTACCTACTTCAGCTAGAGTGAAAACTTAGAGCTTAAAAAAACCTTTTTACGACCAGCCTAAAAATACATAGGGTTACAGCTGTTACTTCACTAAGGTTTTGAGCCCTGTTTCCCCTGAAAAACATGTTCAGGACAGTCCAGAAACAAACTATATTCACACTGGAAAATAATTCAAATAAATTGCAAAGAAATCGATCTGTTCTTGACATAAGACATTGCTTTATGAAGTACCAAATGCCTCAAGTGAACAACTGAGAAGTTTCTGCTGAGTTGAGAATCACTATTGCAATTTCTACACCAAAAAAATCCCAATAACTCACCCTGCCTTTCCCCACTGGAGGCCTTAGTGAGGAGAAGGGAGAGTTAAGCATACAAAGATCTSCCTCCAGCACATCAWGAGAGGAAATGCTAGTTCTTAAGGRTGAGATTATCTTGCTGCTCAACATCAATGTTCTGGGTTTTGAGAACAGTGAGGAGAGGGGGGAGTTTATTTGGTTTTGTCATGTGCTCCTAAAAGAAGATTAAGAGGCAAGGGAGTTCAATATAACAGGAGATCTAAATTACCACATGAAATATTAATTTATTAAGCCATTTTCAACCTTTATAAGGGTATTGACAGAAGGTACAGGAGCTTAAWTTTGCTTTGACTTATCAATAATTGTCTCTTACATTTCTGAGATAAATTTGCATTCTTCAGGGAGAAGAAAGATTTCCATTAGCAACAATTGTCACATTCAGTTCCTATATTTAAGAAAATAGAAATGTGTAAGTTCTAAATTCTCCTGATCTACCAAAAAGRCTTAAAGAGAACTGTTTATTTCCTACCACAGACTGAGATGGATTTGAGAGAATCTGCATTGTTCGTGATCCATATATAATATGCTCAGACACAGTTTTTTTATTTGTCTTGTTCTTGAGAGCTGTGGCATCATTTGTTCCCATTTGGTTTTGGTCTGCTTCCAGTGAAAATGTATCTGTCACCTACGATGTCCATCAGAAACCTCCCATTTGAATACACTGCATCTCAACTTCACCTGCACTGGGGAAACAGAAACAAATCTGAAGGCTCTGAGCACACCGTCAGTGGGAAGCACTTTGCAGCAGAGGTAAGGGCAGCTCGGAACAGGGAAAGAAGCAAAGAAGGTTGGGCAGGTCCCATTGTTTCAAACTGGATCTGTGTCTTGGGTAAATGTCTGTAAAAGGCTCTGAGGTTCTAAACCAAGCATTATTKTCTGGGTATATACTAAAAACATGGGTTGTTTTTGCACAGCAAAAAAGATGAACTCAGATGTGCTAAGTCAAGCAGCTGGAATTTAGATTCTAAACTCAGAGCTAGCTCAAGTCACAACTTCTACTGCTCTGTTTTCCATAACTCACCTTCTTCTATCCAGTGAAGAACTATTTATCTTTTCTAATCCTAAATTATGGATTTGGGAAGAGATTTTGATAAGCACTACCAATCAATAACCTCAAAATTATTAAAGAATAAATTAGAATAATTTGCTTGCATAACAGCACTTTAGAAATCATTTTCTTCTCTAATTACATTTAACACTGGGGTTTGAAATTCAAATACTGGAGGGCTAAGGTGTTATTTTTTCAGAAAAATTTACTAGTACTACAGACAAGATGCCTTGAAGCTGAAGTGATGGATCCTCTTTCTCCACTCATCATGGGCAGATGTAGGGTGTGTGTAAAAGCCACAACAGGGCTGGGAGTCCCAGGACATTCTGTCTTTCTCTAAAAAGATCTAAACACTGCACCCAGAAATCAATGAGGGACCCTCCTGCATTGTCTCATCCTGCAGAAGCTGCACTGGTTCTTTTTTGTTGTGAAGCATAAATGTGAGCATGACCCAGATGTTATTGTAACAAAACATCTCATCCTTTGTAGCTGCATATTGTACATTACAACTCTGAGAAATACCCTGACATAACAGCAGCAATGGACAAAGCAGATGGACTGGCAGTTTTGGCTGTTCTGTTTGAGGTAGGATCCAGGATCTTTTTTTTTTTTTTTCTGTTTGTTTAGAATATGCTTTCAATCATTTAGCTGTGAGAAACCTTTAATGTACAAAATTACCTAGATTATTTAATAATATACTGGCTGAACAAAGGTTCTTCCTCTTCTCTTTCACAAAAAAAAAACGGTCAGATTCCAGCAGCACATACAAAACCAAGAACAAATGTTAAGAAAAGAGGAATTGTGAATATTTCCTCATGTTTTTCATTAAATTAACTTCAGCTCTGCTAAATCCATTTTTGTATTCATTTACAAASTAATGACTGGTAGAGTTTATCAAACACGGGGCAACAGTGAATTTCAAGCTCATTTACTCAAAGCTGCCCACTGTAGCATGAAGCAGTTTGAACACACCAGAGGCACAGGCAGGCACAGCCCTGCCTTTGACTGCTATATGTAATTAGGATCTAACCACAGTCTTCTCCCTGCTAACTTCCCAGATTCTTTGAATCACAGATTACAGTAAACGAGAACATTCAGTGACATTTTAAGATGTCAGAAGGACAGCTTTCCAATTTTCCTCTCTGAAGTCCTACATATGATGATAATAATGATCTTTTAAAAAAAATCATGGCTTGCACATATATAACTCTACTTTCTCTTGAGGATTAAAACTCCTCAGCAAGATAACTGTAAGGATAATTTTTACATGAGAGGATTTTCTGCAGCATAACAAACAAAAACCCCAAGTTTTCACATTTCCATCAAAAAGTAAAATGTTCTAGTTATTAAACAAAGCTCTCATSAGTATTACTCAAACTTACTTCCTAGAACCTCTAAAATTCTGAYAGTAATTTTGTATTAAATTTCAGTTCATTTGGAAGTTGTAGCTGTGAAAAATGTCAGAGTATTGCATATTATGCTAGGGAATAATACTGAGATTCTGGTTATTTCTAAGCMATGGTGTTTGAAAATCAAATTAGTGAACAATGGAGATTAGGTCTTTGAAAGGCTTTCAGACAGCTGATGGCTATTACAGTTGATGTAAGGACACCAGTTTACTATGTCTGATTGTCAGAAGAGTTACCAAGCACCAACTCTGAAGAATTCATAAAAAAGGCATTGATTATTAGACTGAAAACTGCTGGTAGCAGTTGAAAAACTCAGTCTTGTGTGACAGCTCAGTTACAGCCTTCGCCAGATGAGTTTTAGCCCTGTGGTACCCAACAGTGTCTTTCTTTACCTCCCTGGACTGTGAGGAGCAGCAGATTAAAAAATGTTTGTGGATGGAAAAATGTGGCTTTGACTGGAACTCAGTGAACGATCTGAGAAGCCTGGAAGCTGAGAACTTGTGCCTGCAATGCTCTCAGAGGAAATGATTTCTCTTTGTTTGCACAACACTCTGAACAGAAGGGCAATAAGGTCTTTTGAAGGTCTGCAGTGCAGTGGTAAAGGCAACATTATGGTACAGCAGCTCTAATAGCTCTGCARTAGGAGCAAAATCATGGTTCTGAGGATGAAATAATGTTTTGAATTATAAAATACTTATGCTGTTCTATGAATATCTGGCCAGTGGAGGCACTTGCCTTATGCTAGGCCAGAAGCACAGACTCATATTCAGACTGGTGATTTGCAGAGCTGTTGATCATGTGATCATTGCAGATCGGACCCTTCAACCCATCCTACGAGAAGATCTTCAGGCACTTCCGGAATGTGAAATACAAGGGTGAGTGCATCAGATTGAGAATGGCTGAGAGTATCACATGTCACCCTGAGAGGGATTGAACTGGCTGCAGAAACAGTCCAGAGACCCCAGGCAAACCTGTCACAAACTGTGAAAGGCTTCCAAATGCAGTACATTTCTGGGAAGAGAATATGGCCAGCATGCATGTGATTCTGACTGAGCCTTATTTCTTGCACATGGTGTTTTTTAGTTGATATGGCCACAGTTTATCTTAGAGGACTCTGATTTTGTATCTAAGACAAGATTTGTACATAGGAAACCTGAAAAAGTTGTATTCCSTATTAAACTGGGATCATCTCTGCTAAAAGGTATTTTTCTTATCCTAGTGATAAGACATGGAAAATATGCTACTTACTGAAAAGCAAACTCACTTCACTATCCCTGTAGTTATGATGCAACATTTAACACGAACCCCCTTTTTTAGATCAGAAGGTCCTGGTGCCTGGTTTCGATATTCAAGAAYTGCTTCCTGACAGACTGGATGAGTATTATCGCTATGAAGGATCCCTGACAACTCCTCCCTGCTACCCAAGTGTTCTCTGGACAGTTTTCCGACACCCCGTTAAAATTTCTCAAGAGCAGGCAAGTTCCATTAGAGAGCATTTCCATGGCTGGGGTCTGCTAAAGAACAGCAAATACTGATTTCCTGGATTTCTCTTATGCTCCTGTAAAACTGAAAGAGGACCATTGCTAAAATCCTTTAAGTGGGAAGAACAGCACAGAATTGACATMAATCAATATCCCATTCAGTTTGTTTTTAGCATGTTTTCAGTTGGCCAGAGCAAAGGACAGACGAGAGCATGGCAATTGGTACAGTATCAGCTTGAAAAAAAACCACAGCAAAGTAGATGAATTTTCATTTTAATTATGTACTTACATCCTGCTTTAAGTCTTTCCATGAGTTACCTGCAAATTATTTTGTTTGGCCTCCATGTCTGAACACTATTCACCAAATATTTCAGTGCTACTCTGATCCTGATAGGCAAGTTGGATAGTTTCTAAAAAGCATGTTATGTTATTTACCAATCTTGAACCCAAGCTTTTCTCCCAACTTACATTTTTTGTGCTCATGTAACTAACTTCCCTTTATAGTTACTGGCACTGGAAACAGCCATGTACTGCACAGAGAGTGATGACCCAGAACCCCTGGAAATGGTTGATAACTTCAGAAATGTTCAGGAATTCCATGAAAGACTGGTTTTTATCTCCTTCCGTGAAGGTAAGTTGTGTGAGAAACATTCAGGAATTCYATGAAAGACTGGTTTTTATCTTCTTCCGTGAAGGTAAGTTGTGTGAATGCCTCTGTGCAAAGAAAGTGCAAAATGATCCGTGTAAACGTGAAGTACTGGAATGGCAGTCCTGCTGCACTACAAAAACACAGCAATCTCCTTTCCCTGCAATTCACTCAGTTGCCTTTTCYTCTCATATTGCGTTGGTGCACAGGCAGCTGTAAAAGAGTAAGATATTCCCAGAGKAGGTAAGAATTTTTTCCACAGTGGGTATCAGGCAAGCCCTGCAGCCCTTCAGATCAAAGGCAAGGGAATAAAAGAAGGAAGACACGATTGGCCTTGTCATGCTTGGCAGAAGTACTTTCTGTCAYGCCAAATACTAAACAACTCTGCAGCTGAACTGTTTCAGTCAGTGTAAGTGCTTAAGATGGTCTTGTCTCACCAGTGACATTTGCTGGTTCTCAGCAATGTCAGGTTTGATCTTTCACAGAGCACACATTTAAAAGCAGTCACAACTTCGTCTTTCAGGGACATTGTTTTTGGGAGATTACAGAAGGGGTCCTTGAGGAATTCAAAATTGGCAAATAAAAATAATTCATAACACTGGATTGTATGATCCAGTGTTGCAGATTAAAAAAGAAACAATCCCATTTTATGGGGAAGAATTGATTTGTGCAGTGTTACACAATGACAACACATAAGTTTGGTGGGGGGCGGCTTTGCACAAAAGTCTGCATCTGTGGTGAGAATTTGAGCTGTACCCCACAGTCAGGCCTCTGAGTATATTGTTTGTGCAAAATGTATTGTTCCAATTTCTGCTGTCTTACAAACAAATACTCTTAAGGATGTGTGACGCTGGCACATGCACTCAAGATGGATGGAGGCAAGCCACTACACTATTTGAGAGTAAAAGATATCTAAAAGAGAAAGCAGACTTCACAAAAAAGATTRGCCAAGCAGTAAACTTTCAAATTAATAAGATATGTTAGCACTTAATTTCAACTTTGCCTGCCAGTGTCTTCACTGTTTAGATGAAAGAACAGAAACTACAGGAGTTGTCTATTTTGGGCATTTTCACTGAATAKCCACTGCAGAAACAGTTCCTGCAGGCACATTGCAGCAGCCGTCCTTGCCACTGCCCCCTGCAGACAAACCTCTCATAACGTATCTCTTCTAACAGAACGCTATAAAGGAGAAAAGTGAAAATCAAGAGATCAGCCAAAACAAATCCCAGGCAAAACATTTCTCTTAAATAAGAGATTAATTCAATTTCTCACCAAAAGTTAGCTCATTTTAAAATGAGAGTTACACTAGTAGTTCTCTTGTTGTTAGATTCCAAACATAATACATAAGAAAATTACAAGATTACCTAATTAGCAACAATCCTTAACATCTCCATGATTTCTATACAAACTGGTACTAGATGTGTAAACAATATTTTGAAAAAACCAAAAGATGACTGAATAGTGAAAGAGAGAAAGAACTAGAGTATGTCATTCTTTTTTCTGCTTTTATGCATTGGTCAACTGGAAGAATGCCCCCCATGGCATTCTTATATGACCACAAAGAGGTTAAAACTTCCTTCTCAAACCTCCAAGCTCAAACACTGGCTGCCAGCTAGAGAGATAGCTGGGTCTGGAATAGCTATTTTAGTAATCCTCTTCAAATCTCTGCTCAAGTCAGATTATGTGCAATGATTTCAACCAGCAGCATTTGCAATACAGCTGCCAAGTTTCTGAGACTAAGGCTTCCTCTGCAGGGTCTTTAATCTCTGCACAATCTACTATAGCAATGTCACTGCAGAAGCACTGCCTGAAGTTACACAAGTTCCAGAGTGAGCAGCTCCCTTGTGATTAAAACAGGTTCACCATGGAATCCTAGTGATCCAACCTTTATATTTTCTACCCCCTGTTTATCAAAATTCAATACTGGTGGGCTTGGCAAAGGTATGTTGTCCATTCCTAACCACACCTACGAGCTGCTGATCTTCCGAGTCATCTTGGTCAGTCAGAAATGAGAAATGCAGTTTTCCGATTTTCTTAAGCTGACCTCTGAATATCTGACCATATTCTCTCAGTAAATCACACTCAGTACTTAATAGTAGAAGGCAGAGAGTTAAAACACACGATCCCAGGAACTGAAAACAAGACACTGTGCTTTTCATCCAGGAATCTCCAAACACTTCACAGAAATAGTGTAAGCATTAATATTTCTATTTATGCGGGAAAATTTGACCCAGATGTGACTTTCTCAAAATTGTTGCTGTGAACCAAAGCCAAACCAAATTATAACATTTGGTTCTCCCTCTGTTAAGCCACATTATTGGCTCCCACGCAGAGATGATACCAGCTAGAAAAGCATTTTCAGTGTATCTTTAAAGCTGGCATGACTTAGCAGAGTTAAATTGTAGGGGTTATTGCCCATCCTGCTGTTCATACCCCAGAACTGCTCTCTATGGCTGTGAAAGACATTGCTCAGTGCTACTTTAATAGAAACCCCATTCAGTCTAAGTACATTTAATTACAAAAGCTCATTGACTCTACCAGTGAACCATAGAAAAAATGTTCAACCCATTTCAAAAAAGGTATTCATTGCCCCCGTAATCTCACATTCCACTTGCTAYAGACACAAAAGCTCCCTCACAGGTGCAGCCCCTCACCTAAAGGGCAAAAAACATCCAAGAAAGGAAAATAAAAAGAAAAAGAAAAAAGAAAGGCTTCTGCTGTCAAAGCCCAATGAAGGACATCTGGCTGATGCAGTCAGCTGCAACACATACAGGAACAGGGCACATCTACTAAGAAGGAGAGGCCATGCACAGAGTCATAGCTTGGACCAGGCAGCCACAAAAGTTTGTAAAAGAAATCCTRCTGTGCACTCTACTAAGCAGGTTTTTAGGGCAACTTTTCTGCTTTATCAGTGATAGGCCTGAGAGCTGCCACCTTTACCTGAGCACAGACATCACAAGATGTCAGGCCACTGGCCCGTGTCTTGTATTAAAATTGAAAATGACAGAAGTGTTCAGTCAGCCACGTTTTTGGTGCCAGTAATGAGTATCTAAATTCATGCCCTCAATTAATAAGAATCACATTTCAAAAAGTCTCTAAATCTTTAAGGATTACACAGCAGAACTCACACGTGTTAATAATATATTTTGTCTGTCAGCAATTTATTCCAATAAAATCAGCTTCACATACATGCAGCTGGAATTTGTTATGATGTTCAAGCCACCCACTGCCCATGAGTTAAAAAGGAACTCATATCTAGTTTTGATTGTGGTTCCATGCTGAAATACTATCTAACTAAATTTTGTAAGAAGATACTCTCATCACACAGAAATGCTTYCTACCCTTCCTCTTCAAGCTATAAGCCCTTTTTCTACAGTTATCTAGTTAGTATTATATTTTTTCTGCCCACTTGGCACACCTTTACTATAACAAAACTCACCTTTTGCAAAACAGCTTTTCTTCAATTCCATGGATTGTGAGCTTCTTCCATTCAGTTGGATTTTAATCGGATAAACTGGATGAGSTTAAACTCCCCATTTTACATTAGTGTTTTATCAACAGGTGATTTTAGAAGAGAAAATATTTAGATGGAATACATGAAGCCAGTTTGAYTCTGTAAGAGCTCTTATGTTGCTTAGAGAGAAACAGTCATTTGATAAAATTTAAAAAATAATGTGTAATAAATTAAGAAACTGCAGTTAAGGGAGCTCATCTCCAGGATCTTTAAGGAGGCCAAAATAAATAAAAAATACTTTCATTGCCAATTCACAAAAATGTACATGAAAGTCACTAACAAATATAGCATTATGATAATGCTTAARTCTTTACGCAAACAAGAGATCACTCAGCTCTTCATACTAATATCCTGAATTAATTTTTATCTTATTCGATGCCTTTAAGCAATGTTCTCAACAGCAAAGCATATCTTTCTTCAGCTGTCCACATTCAATGGTGTTCTGTTTGGGAAGACAAAAGGCATCAGMTTTAATATCCTTGGTTGCCTGCTTTAGTTCTTTGGTTTTGCCTATGATCTCTTACTTGTTATAGAACAAAAATCATATTCCTGCTGTGACCTACTGTGCCGGTGCCTCCACGTTGGCACTGTGACTTCAACATGTGTCTCATGTCACAGCTTTGTGAACTGCGGATCAGTTCACAATGTGGGGCTGGGACATTCCAGGGAGTATCTGTGCAAAGTTACCCATTCTGTAGTCACATAGTGTGACCAGGCTGTAAAAAGGTTGCAGATACAGAATGCAAATATTCCAACACATCAGAAACTCACCTTCTCCTCTCAAGGCAATGATATTGACCATTTTGCATGTTTTCCCTCTTTTCTTAGGTTTTGTGGTTTCTGTTATGATAGTGTGCATTCTGGGAGCTCTCATCATTCTCACAGTAGCCTTCTGCCTACTGAAGAAGAAAAGGTAAGATGTCTGGCTGTCATAACACAAAAAAAATTCAAACCRTATTTTTCTTCTGACACAAAGAAGCACTTATGTGTCCAACATTTTTCACATTTTTTATACTGGTGAGGCTTGATCTTTTATAAGATATGATCTCCTCCTACAAACTATGATTTCTTTTTATTCCTGTAGACATTATTTCCCCTATATCATATCACGCTGGGCCAATAACAGACTTACCCATTTATTCTTTTCTTGTTCTTTTTGATAGCACCACTGCTCCTAATTGCTTTTTGGATCCTTCCACTTTTTCCTAGAACAGTAAGCGAAACAAGGAGAATGGAATTTTAGGAAAAACCTCTCCCAAAGGTCACAGCATTTTAGAGCAAGAAATAYATACTGACAAAAGATGATTAAACCRCTGYTTGCCAACAAAGCCAAAACCTGGAAAATAAKCTAAGATCCCTATTTTTCCTACAGCCTGATTCCTTTGCATTCAGCATGACACTGCATACAAAATGTGTTCTCTTAAAATATTTGTAACAATAAGGTACTGTGACATTTGCACTAGTACAGAGAAAAATAATCTCATACATGCATAATGGACCATTTAAAGTAACTGATCGTGCTTTTCCTGCATTGGYATTACAATTATTTAATACATTTGTTTTATTTTAGCTGCAAAAAAAGAGGGGAAGACAACAGAGGAGTCATCTACAAACAAAGTATGTACACAGAGGAAGAAGACATCTCCAAAATTTGATGCCCTGCTCTGTCACAAAAGCCTCTTTCCATTCATAGCACTGATTTATTTTGGATTGGTGAAACACATCTCTTGTTCTTGGCTAATGATAAGCCTCAAGAGAGTTCTAAAAACACACCAGCCAAAAGCTTTCTGTAGCCCTTGTTCTCTTGTTTTCCAGGGAGATATGATCAGTGAATCCCCCTGAGCTGAATTCCTCACCACATTCTTTTCATGTCTGCTGCCTTCTGAGTCTGGGTGTTTCAATTGATTTTACAGTTAATCCTAAACTCCAGTTTCATGGTTTGTTTAGCACAGGTTTTCCCACAGGTATTCAGATCTGAAGACACTCATCAAGCTACAAGCACTCTTCCCTGTTAAAACAAGTTATTTGTTTTAGCAGCAGGAATATAAACAAGATAAAGGGCAGACTGTATTTGACATCAGAATTYGAACCGGGTTGTTCAGCAGATACAGTTTTTAAAAGCACAGGCATGTGATGCCASTGCATCCACCAGTGGAATTGTAATATTAGAGGAAAAGACAAGTGTAAATGCAATGAAAGCCACATGGATTATTAACGGGGTTCAAGCCCAGGAACTCAGTGCTGAGAAAACACTACTGCTAGAGGAAAAGCTCACTTTCCAGCTATTATACAGCCTCACAAATCTGTTAAGGAAGTCAGCCCCTGACTGTCCMTGGAATTAGAGAAGAAGATTGTCTTTTTATCCTGCTCTTATTTATAGTGTGTGTATGAATGATGTGAAGATAACGTAGTTGCTGCTGCTTTTAAGCAGACTTGTCATTTAATCATGAAATCMTGATAGATATTACAGTATATATTAYWGCTGCAATTACACAGTAGATGTTTTCTCTGATTCAGTTCTCTTAGTAATCTGATTCCTAGAAAGAAATCTAAATTATCTTTTCGAACTTCATAAGTTAGATACCTGAGTCTTATTATGTATTTTCGAAAGTGACCAGCATAAACCTTATTCCACAATGTGGAATGCCACTGACTTCAGGAACAAAAAGGTGTATCCAGCCTACCCCAAATTCCTCTTGAATCTGACATCTACAGTGGGGACCTGAAATGCTTGTACTTCAGCATCCATGCAGGCAGTGATAGGCCTCAGGATTATACCTACATTAACTTCCGGTCTGAATGCTTCTAAACACTACCGGGGAAATTTCAATTTGAACTTTATACTTAGATCCCTTTTATATTCGATTGCAGCACCACCACATCTGTGATTTTAGAGAAATAAACTCCTATTGTATGTGTTTCCTCCTTTCAAGATGGTGGATGCAGACTATTTCAGCACAGAGTGTTTTAGATTCTTCCCCTTCCATCCCCAAGAAAATTGTGTGATGTTGAACTGTTTGAAATTACTTTAAAAGAATTTGTGTATTTTATGGAACATTACTTACTCTTTGAATAAAGGTGTTTAAAGACAAGATTACATAATAAATTTTTATTTCTTCTAGAAGAGTAACATTTTATCATGTATTTCAACTTTTACCTCAGCTGATTAGAAACATCCATCAATCACTCTTTTTCATGTAGCATCCTTGACACCTGTAAAAAAAAACCAAAAACATAAAACCTCAGCAGGGCAGACATGCTTACTGTGAAGAAAATCTCACAGTACCAGCAAAGGAAACATATTAAACACATTTGACAGAAAATGGCTCCTTCAGAATTGTTTCTTAAGCAAAAGAACAAACTGAAGAGGAATTCACACAAATCATRTTCCTGCTACTCCCACTTATAACACTCTCTAATTTCATGGAGGCTACCTATAAAATCCATGCTGCCTTTGAAAAKGCAAGCATATGGGAATTATTGTTTTTCTTTAATATTGTATTACCAGTTTGCACTGCCAGTGGTCCCTAAGCTGAAAGAATCTAAGCCCATATGTTTTCTGGTCTCTGTAGCTACTGTCATTTAATAAAGTATCACATTTTTTAATAGTTTCCAGCAGATTTCTTTTGTCACTCTTACATGCACAATATGTCCAAGAAAAAAATCAGGCGTGATCAGAAAGACAGATGTAGTTAACACGCTACCATAATAAATTAAATGTCAATTGACTTCTTTTTTAAATGGAATGTCCCATTTCTGGACTCCAGTAGCAGAAATGAATCCTAAATAACTTGAGCCAGTGAAGTGAGGGGGTAAAACGCCACAAGGGGTGTAGAGCTCTCCTTCCATTTCCTTGTGACAGACGGAAATCCCGTCCTGTATGTGACAACACCCTGATGGCGTGACTGTGTAATCTCCAGTCCCAGCTCAGGAATATTCAGTTCCTGTCAGCAAATACAAATATCCTCACAGAGGCRCTTTACTGACTGTTCCACTTCCTCGTTCAGGCAAGAATTCCTCCTCTCAGGAAGAGGTTATCAAAACAGCAGGTACCAGGTTTTCTTTTTYAGTTCAGAAAGGAGAGCTTACTTCAGGACATCCTATCATAGTTTATGTAACAAAGTGTGCAGTCAGCTTGGTGGAACTTTGTCAGAACCGGCTGACCAGTCACAAGACTAAACTGCTAAATGATGTGTCCAGTGGGATCATGATAAATATCTAATTTTTACAGCTTCTCYTCTATGAAGAGTGTAGGGGTGCAACACATCTTGGATAACTGAATTTGTTTCAAAATTTGCTGAACTGAGTCTCAAAAAATTCCATGTCATCTCTAATGTAATCCAAAGGATTACTTTTAATATAATCACCTAAARTTAATGCCCAACAAAAGCAAATTTTGAAAAAGCATATTAAATATAGAAGCTTCTAGACTTCAGGTAAAGTGGTGGAAACAAAACAGAGCAGTTATGCTATTGCAAAGCTTAATGTGTTGAAGTAAGATGTTTATTTTCATTAACTCTGTAGCAAGATCAACACACTAATTCTCATTTAAGACCTAGTCCTCAATTGTAAATATTACCTTTAAGTCAAACACATAACTTTAATATTGAATCATTTGTCTTAYTATTGCAGAAAGCTATAACTGAACTGTTAAGATGCCCAGATGTGTGGTACCCATGAGAAGGTTTGAATTGTGCATTTCAAACTGCTGCCTGAGAAAGGCCATGTTAAAAAGTAAACAAATACTGGTATTTTTAAAAGAAAGATAGTTCAACCAAGTACCACAAATGTAACATCCAAAGCTCTTCAAATGAGAAGAGATGGCTGGGGTCATACAGCTGGGGAGCTGAAATGAAAAGGTGTCATTTTAAAGGAATCAGAGATGTTTTAAAAAAACAGGGTCCTGTAATARTCAGTGTGTTGGCTACAGCTGTCTGCCCCACTTCATGCATTTCAGTGCACAGGATCAGCAGACCCAGTAACACAGCAAACAACAAAGATACAGAAAATATTTCTATCTCMTGGGTGGGCAGCTGGATACCCAGGCTTGGCCAGCTGCTGGGTRGGATATTCCTTTGAATGCTCACACTACAGGCAGATCACCAGGTTGTACCTCTGTGCATTTTACAGGCACCCCATGTCCTGCCCGACTTTTCACTCCTTTTCTGCCATGACCTTAAGGAAATGGACCTGGGGAACTCACAAGGCAGATGCCATCAAGTGACTCTGAACAACCGGCACTGCTGGCAAGATTTTTTATTATTTGCAAGTAATCAATGTTGCTGAAATTCTAGAAAAAAAATATAGTTATTCTTATGCATTGAGTATATTTTGAAAAATCAGTTAATAATTTAATTGTGGTGCAGGCTTTTTTTCAACCACAAATATAGCTTAGAACATAAAAATTCAGCAATACACTGATTTTTTAATTATTAGCTTGCAAGGAATATTTAAATCTTATTAAGACTTTATTTTCTTTTTCTTTTTTTTTTCTTGCTATTTAAAAGACATTTTCCTTCATCACTAGAAAACAGATTGGAGCTTAACCTACCACAATATTTATATGTTCTACGTTCCAAAAATGTCAGATAATCAGAAACATTACAAAAAAAGTATAATCTGACACCTTGTTTCACTTTTGGCTGCATATTCAGCAGGAAATGTTTACAGACAGATTTCAAACTCCCTGAAGTTAATTAAACCCGACAAAAGTGCACAGGAGACTTTGTAACACACACACAGAATTTCCCACCATGTCCATCTTCAGAGTGGATGAAACCCCKGWGTGATTTGCTGGCCCTASGGSGCTGTGCAACACTTGCAGGGGAGGYATCCAATTGCCAAGAAAGTGGAGGCTGGTTCAAGGACCCAGCACCACCATGTGCTGAAGTTTCCATTTCTTTAACGAGCATGTTTAGGGTGTGCTTGGTTCTCCACAAAACACCTAAGAGGTAACAAGGGGACAGTGACTAGGATGCATCGGGAAACCAAGCAGCTCACACAACCAGTCAGACCCTTTGGCTGGTTTTAGATCGATTATGGTAGAAGTTCCAGAAGCTCTGCCCACAGTCCTGCTCAGAACCCACTTACTGCAAAGTTTACACAACTTAAGTATTCATTGTTTCTTCTCAAACTGATCAAGTTGTTCCACAACGRATCTAATTCATCACACCCTGTCCAATTGCAAATTACTTTCTACCACAATATGGCAGCTACAATTTTATAACATCATTTCTCACTGAGAAAAATCTGATGGTCAGCAAGTCAAACCCAATATTAGGATCTGTCAAAATAAGTAATTTTTTTAATAACAAGCATTCCTGTGACTGTGAAGTTCTACTTCTCACGAAAAAGGTGTCCAAGCCATTCTGCAAAACTGGTTTTGGAAGMCTCTGAATTTCTGATCAGCTAAACAGAAAATTTAGTGGCTAAACTTGGAAAGAATACCCATCACTTGTAGCTAACTTTCAGTCAGCACAAATTGTGTGCCTTACCTTTTCTTCGTGAAATTATGAAACAACTTTTAGCAAGTTACATGAAACTGCCCAGTGTGGTTTCCGTGATACCCCAGGACTACAGCAAGAGATATAAATGAACCACTGTTAACTCTGTTCTGTTCGTTCTTAGTTCACAGAGAAATGCAGAGCAGCTGTCAGTGGATGAAAACCACTATGCCTCAACTGAAGTAGTATATGAATCATAATGCACATTAGCTGCAGACACGTAAAACCCTCAAACAATTCTATATTCAAAATGTGTATTTTTGTCAACACTGGTCTCATTACATCAGTAARACCTGTAAATGAATATAAAACCGAAAGTTGATGAAAATTTAAAAGACGAGAACTTTGAAATTTTGCACATTTTCATTAATACTTTAGTTTTATTTAATCAAAACATCTATATTGCATTATATGGGGGGGGGGGGAAAGCAATGGTTTCAAAAAAAGAACTCAGAAGACCAATTGTTTTCTTTTAAAAACACAACCAAGAACTGTTACTAAAAAGAACATGTAAGAGAGGTTCTGATTTAGGGGAAGTGAAACAGCACCCTCTAGTGACTCATGCATGAGAAAGAAAAGTTGKCACTTCTTTTACTTCATCTCAACACCATCCACTCAAGTTTGCAAACAATAGCAAAAGGAAATACAAAAATAAACATGAATGCTAGAACACGTACTGTGGAACTAGGAATGGAAAGTCAAGCGTTATACTCAAGGATTATTTTTCTACCAAGCTGGGTACCTATGGTCTTTAGTAAATATAAATTTTTTTGGAGGTACATACCATATCAATTTAATGGTTACATACTATTGATCCAAATATCTTCCCAGGAACACCAAAAGCAATAGAAATAATAGCTTRTTAAAGAGACTTCTATCAATTAATAACACACATAGCTGTCAAAACTGATATCAGTCAAAACTGATGAATAAAAATTGAGTYACTTTGGATGCATCTCATTTTTCACTGATAAATTATCAAACAGCAGCCCCTTCTCTTCAATTAATAATCGCTCCTCATATTTGCACAGGCACTATGATCCCAGGAGTTTTTGTTCACTTTTCCAGCAGATTGCCTAAAGGCTACCAGCACAGAACATTTCTGAGCTGTTTTTACAGAATTAAACTTTAACTGCTTCTTTACAGAKTGCAGAGGTCTTGTCAAATCTCACAGGAATTCATCCACTAGCAAACTATAGACTGGGGTTGAGGGGCCCACTCAGATTAAAAACCACAATAGACAAAATCAAAATATTTGCTAGGTTTGATATTTTTTTTCTCTATGATTTTCTTGAAGGAATATATTGAAGAAAACCTTAGTAACCTTTTTCTCAATCCGAAGCCATGTGGCGTCTTGATGACTATCGAGGAGGGCTTTTCCTTTCAGAATTGCTACATAAAAAGTGAAAGAGCAAAAGAGGTTGTGCAATTTTCACCAGCTTCCTCTTTAGTTCTTTGCTTTCCATGTGTATTTAAGAAATACAAAGAACAGTTTCTTGCTTTGCGAAAAGTATTACGTCTCTAGCAAACCCCACCACTAAAGTTTTAGGGTGTCTCACCCTTAGAAGTGGGGCACGTTGAAGTTAAAGTATCAGAGATAAATGAAAAATAAACTTTGTTTTAAATTCTCCTTCTTTCCAAAAGGTGGCACTTCTTATGAAAAAAGTTCAAGGGTTAACTAACACAGTTAACCCTATTAGTTGAGTTCGATCTCCAATTTTCACCAAAGAAAAAAAGTTTAAAATTACCATTCCTAAGTCTTTTTATTTGGTTTAAGGCTGCAGTTAATTTTATTTTCTATTATCAAAACTAACTTTGGAGAAACTATGTTGCACAAGAGAACTGCTGATATTAAATAGAGCTAGCTGTTTCTCCAATACGACTCCATGCTTAAGCAATCTCAAGTGAATAAGAAATTATTACTTACTTCAAAAGTCTGTCATAGGTAAATCAGAATAGTTCCTGGAGCAGCACAGAAAACACCACTCCAAAGATGAGCACAGTTTTCCATACTGATGCTTAATGGCCACCCCCTGTTTGCACAGGAACAAAACACACACAGGAAGAAAGCAGCAGGGAGAWCAGCCAGACAAAAGCCCTTGAACCAAAGAGGGGGCAAAAACCTTCAAGAACTGTTACACACACTGCATTTTCCACTAGCATTTGAAACTTCTACTAAGAATCTCCATGAGGCAAATAAATTGGTTAGAGTTGCAGAGTAAATACCAGAGAACAAAATACATGCTAAAGAGTGCATTTCCCATCACAAGCAAGTATTTTTAATTTCAYGAGAAATTTAAACTAGCAATTTCATCTCTAATGTGGAGAGGGTGGTTTAAAATCAGTTAAATAACCCTACCCATTTAATGGTGAAAGAGAAAGGACTACTAGCCTAACTACACTGCATAGGAAATAGAGAAAATTATGAGCAGCTCCTAAAAACACTTCTGGTGAGTCTTTTTTTCTGCCATAGCTATGGTTCTTGGGAGTACCTGCCGGGCACTAGAAATGAAACAACAGGGACCTGAAACGAATATGCACAAAAATGCACATGAAATAGAACCTATGAAAATG